GGAAAGGAAGTCCCGCCTTAGCACTTGGCCACCAGCAGCTCTGCCATTGACTTTGCTTGTCAAAAGGTTGCAGAAGGGGATCACATGACCCTGGAACACTGTGACCATTATAAATATGAATCAGTTGCCAAGCATCCAAATATAAATCACATGACCCTGGGCATGCTGCAATGGTCATAAGTGTGAAAAATGGTCATAAATCATTTCAGTGCAATTGCAACTTTGAACAGGGTTTTTTTTTGGTCAAGTTTTTGCTAGGTGGTACTCGAATATTGCCATATCCTAAAAGTGGTACAATCGGTAAAAAGGTTGAAAAGCCCTGTCTTAGCCATAGCATGCGGCGGGCTGTCACGTTGGACGCCAAGGACCTGGAGGAAAACCGTGCAGCGTGTAGAGTCGCATCGGAAGTGTATTCCGTCGCAGCCACTAACTTGCTCAGGTCCTGATGTGTGCGGATATCGTCCGGGGGGATCCTGGCCTGGAGCTGACGAAGCCAGATGAGGGCGGATCTAGTGAAAAACGAGGGTGAAGTAGAAGCCCTAATAGACCACGCCACCGCCTGGTGCGTCCTCCTAAACGCCAGTTCTGATCTGCGTTCCTCAGTTTTTAAGGCCTCAGACATATCCCCTGAAATAGTGGTAGGGGAGAAAAGGTGGGACAGGGGCTCATCCACCGTGGGCACGTCCAGGGCCTCTGCTAAATCAGAGGCCACGCTAAACAACTTTTTATCGTTCCCACCTGGAAGAGGAAAGGTGCCCGGGGAAGCCCATTGTTTCTTAACTGCATTAAGGAATAATGGTGGACAGGGAACATGGTGTTGCATGACAACCGGTTCGATGAAAACGGGGTCCGCCTCTGAATCCATTGCAGTTGTCGCTGGAGCGGACCGGTCAGGTCCCACGTGCGCTGCAGAACTAGCCTTGTGAAGTAGGGGTAGAAAGAGAGAAGGATTAAATAGACCGCCGAACGGGGGTGGATCCAGGGCCGCTTCCTCCTCCTCCGACCACGAGGCGTCAAGTGCCTGATCCTGCTCCGGGGTTAATGAGACCCCACTATACGAGGAATGGGAGGGGGAGGGAGGATCGTGAGAACTCTGATGAGCCGGGCGAGAAAGAGGAAGGGAAAGCAAGGAATCCGCCCTGGTTACCAGTGGAGACCTGGCTGCAAGAGCCCTCTCCACCGCCTGAGCCACCAGGACTTGGAGCCTATCCTCTAGAGGAGGAAGGGCGGACTCCTCCCCTGAGCCCCGCGGCCGTGGGCGTGAAGGTGGCCTCTGGGGCCTGCTGGACCCTTGGGGTGGTTGGAGACCTGAATGTATGTGCGTCAGGTTCCAGCCCGGGCTGACTAGAGGAAGTAGAAGGCTCTACCGGTGACCAGACTTCCTGGGCAGAAGAAGAGAGACCGAGAGGCAGGTCAAAAAAGGTGGACTCAGTCTGAGCAGTCTCGGCCCTGGCCTGTTTTTGAGCCTTTGAAAACTCTTTTTCCAATGCCTGGTGTCTCCTGCTGGCCTATTTTTCAGCCAATTTGGAGGTTTTCCCCCCAGAGACAGCCTTGGGTTTGACCTTGGCTGAGATCCTACCAGCAGCCTCTTGGCTAGGGGACCTGTGCCTTTTCCGGATGGAGGAAGGAGGGGAGGCGTCCTTGGATTGGGAGGCCATGTTATCCTCCATGCTGGTATAAAATCTTCAGGTGCACGAGAAGGTACCCCTGGAAAAAGGATCAAATTGGCTAATAAGGGTGTAGGGCAACGGCTGGTAAGAACTGCCCTACCCCCCCCCCCGGTCACCGAACCGGTGGTATCCAAAAGACCGGTCCTACTTGCAGTCGCTGTAATTTCCCCCTAGAGGGTGGATTGCAGCCTGCTAGTAAGGCTTGCTGTGTTGCCAGGCCAGCAATGTAAAAAGATGGCAACTAATACAGAGTCAGGGGCTGGGAACTACTGTGTTATCAGCTAGCCAAGTGGTGACCAGGACTGGAGACACCAGAGGGCCAATGAAATCGATTGGGCCTATGCAAGGAATGAAAGAGGAAAAGGACAAATGCCACAAGAGGAGTTTCCAGGGATGAGAGAGATCCCAGGCAATCCTTGGATACAAGGAACCCGGGAAGGGCCTTGGTCAGAAAAAGGCCTCAGTAGGGCCTTGGGCTGAAGCACGAGGAGCCTCCAAAATGGCGGCCTTGGGAAGATGAAGCCTCCAAGATGGCGGCCGTAACCGGTGGGGCTCCTGCCTAGGCCTGGGCCTTCTATTTAGGCTGAATTCTTTTCCAGGGGCTGATATACAATGAAGGGAAGATGCCCCTTGAAGGAAAGCTAACGAATGTGCAGAGACTGGGTGGAAATGCCTTCCCCCCCCGCCTCCCCTTGTAGCCGGCAAGGACTGGGGATGACCACGCGGTCTACAAAATGGCGGCCGCGTCCTAAACTCCGTTCACCCCCTCTGGTTTCGAACGGCTGCAATGCTCACCCAACCGGACACACGATTGAAGAAAGCAGCAGGGGCAAAACGGCCTCCCCAGCTGATCGGCGGCGTTTCGGGAACCGTGGAAGCCTCCGGTGCGAGATTTGCAAGACGAGGCCCTGCGGCCTCCACGAGGCTGATCCGAATGCCGTAAGGCCGTCGGAGCTGCAGCCGCAAGCTCCGACGCCGAGGTGAGCTGGGGGGAATGGGGGGGGGAATTTGCAACAGCGCTGAGCTAGAAAGGGAAGGGAGAAACGGAAGCCTCCATTTGTTGCTGAATCCCAATGGGGATCAGATGAAGGGAGAGTCCTCTAGAGGAGCGCTGGTCCCAGCGCTACTCAGAGGGCTAGAATTTAAGGAGTAATGGATAATCCACCAATAGGTTAAAATCTACCTGCCTGTGAGCCAAACATGCACGTCTGTTCTGGGCAAGATCAAGTCGAGACTGGGAAAACAGGCCCAGGACAGGCGTGGCAGGTTTGGCTGACTTGATCTGATTGGGCAGGAGGATTAAGTTAACCCATTGGTGGATTATCCATCTCCAGTGCTGGAGAAACAAAATTGTTTGCTATATCAAGGATTTTTTCTTTATACAGTCTGTCAAATTCAATAATACTCACATACGTTTGGGTGTTTCCTTATTGCAGGTCCCAATTTGAGTTTCTTCCCATGAAAGTTTATTTGTGACTAGAAAATAGTGAATTGTAAGGTTTTGATTCATGTACTTTTCTCAACAGACTAAATATTATCAATAGTTTCAATCAAATATGGAACACTGCAAACAAAAGCATCCATATATACAAGTATGTCCTATTGCTTCTGAACTTCCCCAAAAGTTCACTTCAGTTAATACACCTAGTTATAGTCTATAACAATCATATGTGACTGGAATTCCATAGTAGCAAATGCAAAGACTGTCAAAGGACTCTCTTCTGGGTTAAGTAGTAGGAAATCTTGCTAAATGTATTAGACTTCTGGGACAGCGAAGGTCAAGAATGAGAAGGTGAGAAGAGCTGCAGTGCTTCACCTGTTACAGGCAGGGCAAAAAAAGGCAATGGTACTGAACAAATCAGTATAGTGCAGAAGAAAGAAATATTTTGGCTGTTTTCTATCTAGCCTACTATTCCATCTGAAAAATGAGTCAAAAATGTTTTGATGGCACATAATCAAGCATATGGAAAATCCCTCAAGTAAAAAAGTAATTATTTCATAACTCATCAGTGACCATAAGAGATAGCAATCCAAGATTTAAAAAAATACCTTCTCTGCTGTTGCCCACACCCTTTGGAACATTCTACTCCCAGAGGTGAGGTGGGCCCCCACTCTCCTGGCCTTTCAGAAATGCTTGAAGACCTGGCTCTGCTGACTTCCTTGGGGCCCTCTTTTAAGAAGTCCTTTCTTGGACTTACTCCCAAGATAGATGTGGCTGCTTTAAGATTGTATCAATAGATGCAGCAAAGTTCACCCATACAGCCTCAAAATGCAAACAATTGCACCTCCATACTAATGAGGCAACAGAAATCTTATTTGGATGCAGTTGTATTGGTTGTACACAAGTTGTGATTTAATTCAGACAAGATGACATCTCTCTTGATAAGAAGTGAATACAGCAGGCCAGCGTTCCCCAACCTTTCTGGGTTGGTGGCCTGGCGTGGGGGGGGGGGAAGGAGGGAAGAGGGGATGGTTTTATGCAAGGGGCAGGTGCACGCGTGCATGCATAGAGCTTCATTTGTGTGAGCAGTGGGCATGCACAAGTGGGGCTGTGAGCACCGGTGTCGACCGCTCATGCAAGTGGGGCTGCAAGTGCATATGCACCAGCCCGCCACTCACACGGCCTGGTTGCAAACAGGCCACGGCCCAGTAGTGAGCCCACAGGTTGGGGATCCCTGCTGTAGGCCATACCAGATGGATTCACATAAGGTTGTAATAAATATTCCCCATTGAAACCTACATAGAGCAATAATTGATTCTTGTTTGAATAAGCTTCTCTTATTCTTTTATAATCTAGTCATTTTTAGATAAAGTTAAGGGAGCTAATTTGCCTAGAGGTTTAGCAAACCAAGTAACACAAAAATATAAATATTTGATCTGATGACCATTTGTTTGGACATTAAAGAATTAAACACTTTTGGACAGTAAAAGCTCTATAAAAAGGCCATCTACATTCCAAATTGCAAACAGATTCTAAATATCAACAGTCTATTTAAATCCCTTATCTAAACAGCTTTTTTTTTCTTATGCTTCCCATTCCAAAAAAGAAACCAATACAAGGTTTCTAAATTAGGCTTTCCACATAGACCCACAAATTAACTTACTTCTACTATTTTCTGTACATCTACGTTGTCCAGAAATGATACAAATCCATATCTACAAAGATAAAAAATGTATCAACATTCCACCTGAATTAATATCTCACCATGTAATTCAGCTCTATGCATCAAAATGGTTACATCCAGAAATGTAGAAAATCAAGTACCACAGAGATAAAGTGATCAAGTCAATGTGAATATTTATATCTCTAAAGACTGAAGGAAGATCTTATGCATTTCTCAAACTAGAAGCCCAACAGCTATTTTTAATATTACAAAGGAAATAGAAGGCAAGACCTTAGGCTGGCCTGTGGCTCTGTTCCTGGTGATACCATCTATTTTTATTTTATTTAAAAGATTTATATCCCACTTTTTGATTCCAGGTTAAAGATTAAAATAATTCACAATAAAGTTACAATATCAAAATAAAACATAAAAGCAACAAAATGGCTAATTAAAACTGAGAACACTATTGAAGAAAGTTTATGCCTGAAACTTAAATTTCAGTTTACAAACTTTTAGTTCTATTCCACATTAATACCCTTCACAACCAGTTAAGCCTTGAATACTAGTAGTATTTGATCTAAGTAGTGTAACTATTTAATACCTTCACAATTTTTATCAATGCCACACAAACCAACCAACTTACCCTTTAGATACACCAGTTCTGTCTGTGATTATTTTCACTTCTTTAACTGTACCATAGCGTGTAAAAAAGTTCCAAATTTTTGTCTCATCCATCTAGGGGTAAATTATATAAAGGCACACTAAACATAGTATCACTATTCCCACAAGTGCTACTTCAACATTGTTTAGAAAACTTTCAAAGCAAAAGAATTCAACTGAATCTCTTAATCCCTTTCATCACAAATGCTAAACTTATTAATCAAGAAATAGAATCTGAATTCAACATCCTTATATTAGTACATATACAGTAAATAGGATTGAGCCTGAGAATATTTTTGAAATGAGAATCTAATAAAATATAATTGGGATGAAATTTAGAGGGAAAGAATTAAGCTTGGTGCAATGAAAGTAAAGGAAATAAATAAAAGTTATTTACGCCTTATCACTATCAGGAAGAGAGGAACATCTCGAGAAGAATCAAGGTGAAAATTACAAATAAACACAGATAAGATAACAGCGGATGGACAGAAATTGCCAAGATGACCTTAAGTGTGAAACAACTTCAAATAATGACTAAAGAGAATGAAGAAGGGGAGTTGGGAGGGTTTCTTAGGTGTGACGTGCATTGTAAAAGGTATAAATGTATAGCTTGAAAACTGCTTTTTGCGCTCTTTGAATTCAATCCAACTTGGGAAGGGTCTAAGAGGTCGCGCTTGCAACCGCATTTCTTTTTATTATTTTCATGTTTTTCTCCAATAAAACTTTGTTTTGTTAACCAGACTTGTCTTCGTATTGTATCAAATTTTGGGGTTTTTTTTAATCTCACAAAAGTATTAAGTGATAGGTGGGGAATTTGAAGATAATACAAATTTATTAAACAGTGGTATTCCCGATACATCCTGAGCATAAGAACATTTTCAAAGGGAAGAAAACATATGAAACTTCCACTGAATACTTTAGACAATACTTTTATAATTTTTACTTAGAAGACATCACTAATAGCTTTACTTTCACTTCAGATTGTGCAGAATTTAACTGCTCAAAGTCTTTGTGAAAATACAAGAAACAGCCCAACACTGAAATCTTATTATGAAATAAATACATACCCTTGTATCTAGTCCACCCACAAAAATAGTATTTGGCACGATTTTCCCTTCAGGCAGAACATATTCTTGGCTGGTGGCAGGCAACTGAGAACTTACTTCTTGCAGAATGCTTGTGTTTTGAGAGTTCCAATTTGAAGTAGACTGCAAAATAAATTTTATGTTTTACAAAAATTCTTCCTTCCTCTTTCTTAAACATTATACTTACATCTAGAAAATATTCCTCTTATGTATATAAAATTTAGCACAAATAATGATAGAATACAAAAAACAACCAAGCATATATTCTACTGGTCCATAAGCAGAGGACCCTTGTTTTCACATTCTTCTGAAGGTACAGGCTGTCTATAGGAGTATTTTCAGTTTCAAGATAAACTGCTCAATGAGAACAATTCAGCATCTTCAAAAGGCAGGATACCTTGAATTGAGAGCAGGAATTTGGTCCTCTTAACCAAGGTCATTGGGATGAAGTTTACTATTTGCCTGAAGATGGCGCCACCGACTGCAGCCTTGGTGAAATGCTCTCTGATAGTTTTGTTATTTTTTATTATTCTCTGTGATTCACTTCAGATTTCATACTCAAGAGAACATCTGTTAACCATCAAGGAATGTTTTTTTTTAATGGGCAGCTTTCTGTGACTTCACCCCCCCCCCCTTTTTTTTTTTTTACAAATGCTGAAGAGATTCTAATACAGGAAGAAGCAACTTCCTCTGAACAATGGAGTAATGTAAACCAGGGGTGTCAAACTCGCAACGTCACGTGATGTGTCGCGACATATCGCGACCTTTTTGCCATTGCCGGCAATGGTGTGGGCACAGTTTCGCTATGATGCATCCGGCCCGCAGGCCGGCAGTTTGACACCCCTGGTGTAAACAAAAGGAGAAAATGACTCTTAGATGAAGAAGAGGTAAGAGAGCTAAGAGTGCGGAGATTTTGAATAGACTAAGGAAAAGTGGAACAAAACCCACTCTTCCTTCACTCTTTCTAACTAATCTACGTTCACTCGCTAATAAGATGAAATACTTCTTTTAAACAGATGCAACTCTGATATTTACAGCTCAGCAGCCCTCTGCTTCATTGAAACCTGGCTTAATGAGTCGATTGATGATAGAGACTTGCATATCTCAGGGTTTCAGATACAGAGGGCAGATAGAATTGCAGAAACATCTGGTAAAAAGAAGGGAGGGGGTCTCTACTTTTATATCAACAACCGATGGTGCAAAAATGTAACTAAAGAAATTCTGTGATGTGGACTTAGAGACATTAATTATCAATTGTAAACCATTTTATTCTCCACAGGTTTTCCTCATTTCTACTAATTGCTGTGTACATTTCACCACAAGCTTGTGTAAACAATGCATTACAAACTCTAGCTGACCAGATTATGTGGGCTGAAGAAAAACATCCTGATTCACTCATTGTGTTAGGTGATTTCAACAGTGCTAACTTAAGCCAAGAGCTACCAAAATACTTTCAGCACGTCAACTGTCTCACTAGAGGCAAGAATACATTAGACCACTTCTACACAACACTAAAAGATGCTTATCGGTCTTTACCACAAGCAGCTGTGGGACACTCTGATCACTGTATGATTCACCTTGGACCTGCTTATAGACAAAGGCTTAAAACCATAAAACCAACAATTAAATCAGTGAAGTCTTGGACTGAGGAGGCAAAGCTAAAGCTACAAGCTTGCTTTGACTGCACTGATTGGAAAGTTTTCGAAGATACCTCTGCAGACTTGGATGAACTCACAGATACTGTTAAAATCATATGTTAGTTTTTGTGAAGACCTATGTGTGCCAACCAGGAACTTGAGAATATACAGTAACAATGGCTCTGCACTACATCCTACAACATCTTGAATCTCCAAAAACCTATGCAAGGGTCCTTTTTGTAGATTTCAGCTCGGCATTCAATACCATCATTCCAGATATTCTTCTCACTAAACTAAACCAGCTAGCTGTGCCTGACCACACCTGTAAGTGGATCATAAGCTTTCTAACAGACAGGAAGCAGCAGGTGAAGCTAGGCCAGGGGTAGGCAACCCAAAACACTCAAAGAGCCACTTGGACACATTTCCCACCGAAAACAAAACACTGGGAGCCGCAAAAACCTTTGATATCTAAAATGAAGATAACACTGCATATATCCTTTTTACCTTTACTATATGTGTGTGTGTGTGTGTGTGTATGTATGTATATGTGTTTGTGTGTGTATATATAAAATAATGGTAAAACAGGATATATGCAGTGTTATCTTCATTTTAGATGTCAAAAGGGTCTCTCTCTCTTTCTCTCTTTCCTCTTTCTCTTTCCTTTAACTTTCTCTCTCTCTTTCCTCTCTTTCTCTGTCTCTCTCTTTCCTCTTTCTCTTTCCTCTCTTTCTCTCTTTCCTCTCTCTTCTCTTTCTATTTCCTCTTTCTCTCTTTCCTCTAACTTTCTCTCTTTCCTCTCTTTCTCTGTCTCTGTCTCTCTTTCTTTCCTCTTTCTCTCTTTCCTCTTTCTCTTTCCTTTCTCTCTTTCCTCTCTTTCCTCTTTCTCTTCTCTTTCTCTTTCCTCTCTTTCTCTTTCTCTTTCCTCTTTCTCTTTCTCTTCTTTCTTTCCTCTTTCTCTTTCCTCTCTTTCTCTTCTCTTTCTTTCCTCTCTTTCTCTTATTTCTTTCCTCTTTCTCTCTTTCCTCTCTCTTTCTCTCTCTTTCTCTTCTTTCTTTCCCCTTTCTTTCTTTCCTCTCTTTCTCTCTCTCTTTCCTCTCTCTCTCTTTCTCTCTCTCTCTCTCTCCCTCTTTCTCCAGGTGAGGAGAGAGAGAGAGAGAGAGAACAAAAGGCAGACGGCGCCGAACAGGCGGGGAGGGGGAAGAGGACAGGAGGCAGCAGCTCCGGTGGCGGTGGCACGGCGACGGCCACTGCAGCATCGTCGGGGGTCCCCGCCACCCCCAGCCTTGCTCAGCCGGAGAGACACGTGGCTGGCTCGGCTTCCCGGGGAGCGATGCCCCCACCGGCCGCCGGCCCAGACATGACTGCTGCCCGGCCCAGCCTGGGGAGACATGTGGCCGGCTCGGCTTCCCGGGGTGCGATGGCCCCGCTGGCTGCCGCCCCAGCCATGACTGCCGCCCGGCCCGGGGAGACATGTGGCTGGCTCGGCTGCCCAGGGAGCGGCCCGGGGACGGCCCAGGAAGCGATGCCCCAGCCGAGACTGCCGCCTGGAACAAGTAAGCCGGGGGGGCACCACCTGCCCCGCGGCCGCTTCGCACTGACGTTGGCTTTTTACGCATACTGTCGCAAAATGTAGCAATGTAGTTTACTGTTGTTATATTAAGACTGTTACCCATGCTACACCATGCTTCAAGACAAAATTTTATTTATTTGTAATTAGAAATAAATATTTCACAATATATAATTACATATTATTTTTGTGATTAATCACTATGCTTTAATTATGTTCAATTTGTAACAATAAAAATACATCCTGCATATCAGATATTTACATTACGATTCATTAACAGTAGCAAAATTACAGTTATGAAGTAGCAACGAAAATAATTTTATGGTTGGGGGTCACCACAACATGAGGAACTGTATTAAAGGGTCCCGGCATTAGGAAGGTTGAGAACCACTGTACTAGCGCTTTCCGACTACTAATTGCAAATAGGAACGCAGCAAAATTTTATGGGGAAATCTACCAATCAGCTGATCAGAAAGCTGTTCCAAGTGTACTACTGCACAGAGAAGCTTCTCTAGATCAGGGCTTTTCAACCTTTTCACTCATTGTGCCACTTTTAGGATATGGCAACATCCAAGTACCACCAGTCGCCTAGCAAGGTGTCAAATACTTGATGACCAAAAAAAAAAAAGGAAAAAAGTGATACAGTACAGGTAGTCCTCAACTTACAACAGTTCGCTTAGTGACTGTTCGAAGTTACAATGGCACTGAAAAAAGTGCCCCCCAAGCCACAGCCGAGCAAGATACCTGCCTGCCCGTCCGGCCGCACTCTTCCTCCTGTCCGAGGTTTTCATTGTTGTGAGCATTTCTGTTGAGGATTTGCAGCGGGGGTGGGGTAGGGGGGTGTTTGATTTTTATTCTCCCCCCCTCTGCTGGGTGGTTGCAGCAGGTTTTGGTCACTTCACATGACCCTGGGACAATGTGACCATCATAAATATGAATCAGTTGCCAAGCATCTGAATGTAAATCACAAGACCCTGGAGATGCTGCAACATTCCAGCTGATCAGTGCTTCTTCTGGGCTCAGCAGAAGTGCCAGGATCAGTGTTGTTTTCCAGCTGATTGGTGCTTCTTCAGAGCTCAGCAGAAGTGCCTGGATCAGTGCCGAGCTCCAGCTGGAGCCTGGCGCTGATCCTGGCACTTCCACTGAGCCCTGACAGCCCTGCAGCTCCAACCATCTCTTGCTCAGGTTTGTGCGGTGCTGCCACCAGTTCAGCTCATTCCCCTCCCCCGCTACCACTTTTCTAGGATGGTCGCGTACCACCTGCCAGGTGCCAATGTACCACAGGTAGTACCCGCACGACTGGTTGAAAAGCCCTGCTCTAGATTGATAATATTGCCAAGCAGCCTTAATCATGAGTCCAGAGAACAATTAAAGAGTGGCAACTCCTATAGTTCAGTCTTACAAGTAATCTTGGATAGTCACCCTCAGCTGATTTGTGCTTCATCTCGTTTTGAAACGTGGATCTAGACCTATAGTCACTATGTTTATGAACCATGCATATTGGATCCACAGGCACAACTCTTTTTAAAAGTGCCTACTCACTTTGTTGAATACTTTGACCATGTGAATGAGGCTTACATGTATTGTAGTCAAAAAGAACAGGTCAATCAAATATATTTTGGATTGGCTTCTGCTACAACCTCAGATCGTGTTGAGCAATATGTTAAAACGTTAAGTGATTAAAAAAACAACCCTTTTTTAAAAAACCTGTGCTTGTCTTGATGTATGCTGGTATACCAAGTTCAAGAAAAAAATGACTATACTCAATCAAGGAGCTAAGAATTATATAACTAACATGGCTGTTAATTCTTTTTGGGATACAGCCTTTGCCAGTCTGCTGTTAACAGTAAAAACGAAACGCGGCCGTTATTTCTCCACTCAAAACTTGCAGGACTATTGGAGGATTCAACTGTCCCACATCAACCTATTCTTCCAAATTCTGAGGACTTACTTTGAGATAAGTACAGGCAAAACAGATACCTTAATACTGGCTACCATCCGATCTACGCTTATCTCGGAGGAAATTCTATTGAAACCAAAGGGTTCTAGTCATGCCTCTAAAACTACACTTATAGATAGGGTATTTAACCCACTAAGAATTTCACACTCGTAAATTCTACTAAGAATTTAGATTGCTCTCTCCATCCATAAAATCCCCCGGGTGGGGTGCGAGGTTCTTTTACAATCGTGGTCTTGCACGATCGGCCGCACAAAGCGACTCGAGGCGAACTTTAACTCTTATCGTTGACTTCCCCACAGTAGCAAAATGGTGGCCATGCCTCCGCCTCTCAAGCACCTCCACCAAGGCTTTGTTTGGCCCGTCCAAATGGCCGGAGGATGTGTGAGGTCGCTCGACGTAGCCTGCCATCTCCACACACCCTTTTCACGCCTCCACCTCGAAGGACGGAGTGGGTAACCACTTCCCGCCATTTTCTCGCTCCCTTCTTCGCAACGCCCGGACTTGATCCAGACCCTCAGTCCCGTCCATTTGAGCAACCTACGTCAAAATATCCATCGGCAAGTGGCCTCCTTAAGCTTAATTTTACAAATCCATCCCTGTTGGCTAGCCAGCCTGCATGCCAGGCTTCGCTTCTTTCCTCTTACTGGTTGCTTTTTTTTTTTCGGGACCTTTAAACCATTTTTAAAACAACAAGCGCTGGATCACGGAAAAGCCAAGTCTCCTTGAACTTACCATCTTAATGCACGTCAGGGGAAAGCCTTTCCTGTTAACAGTAAGACAGGTGTTCTCTGTTTTTAACTAACAACCCCCACAAAAACACCACCCTTCCCCCAAAAACACGTTCTGCGTGNAAGCAGTCCTCCAAGTAGAAGGTACCTCCTTGCCCAGCAGTATACTATTAAACAGTTCCTGTAAGGGTTCTATCATTTCTTCAATTAATGTTTTGTAATAAACTGCTGTAAATCCATCTGTACCTGGAGCTTTTCCAACCTTTAATTGCTTAATTGCTCCCTTAATCTCCTCAGCTGAAATTAAACTATTCATTTTTTCCCTTTGATTGTCAGACAATCTAGGGAAATGTGCCTCCTGTAAATACTTATCTATTTCTCCATTTTGTATTTTTTCAGAGGCATACAACTTAGAATAAAGGGAGTGGTGGGTTTTTATACCTTCTAGGGCTTTTGAGGTTGTTTCCTGTTCCTGTTTGAGGCTTTGTATTTCCTGTGTCATGTACCTTGACCTGAGTCTCAGTGTGTCCTTTTGGTATTCTGATGGTGGGTTACTCCTATTATGTCCCCAAAGGTCATGTCTTTTAGAGTTTGTCTTAGTTTAGTCTTTGTCTTCCTAATCTCATCAGCTTCTAGCTTCCTGGCTCCAACCTTCCTGAATTGATTATTACATCTGCATTTCTAAAAGCTGGTTTCTGCTGAGTTTCTGCTTGGGGCTATTAAGAAAAACTGGGCTTGCTTTTCTGCCTTTAAGATCCTTTGGGAAAATATATTTTGCCTTTTTAATATTCCCCAAAATATTTCTTTCTCTGGAGTCTTCCCACAAACCTTTTCAGAGATTGTACCACTTTAAGGATATGGCAATATTCGAGTTTAGTTCTCATTATTTTATTATTAGGTTGTAAGGTTTTCCACTCAGCCTCACAAACTTCTCTGCGCTACTCAGAAATTTCAAAGAGCCAAAAGAAACTCCTGAGCCGAGGTTTCAGCAAAGAAAACTATTTTGGCCAAGACAGAGTTGGGTAACCTTCTCCCTCTTCGTGGCTGTTTAGAGGGACGAAGGCACACCCAGTAGAGATTTCTTCTACCTTTTATACTTTTTCAAAACAAAGAGATCCAAGTCTCTGTACCAGGAGCAAGGAAGCACAGAAAAACAAATTCCAGGATGATGACTCATATACATCAATCCAGGCTAACTCACCTTCCCCCTTCCTATCTCCTGGACCACTGAACCCCACCTTGCTCCTTTCATGTAAGCAATCTCCTGAGCAATCTCCTGTATATTTGACATGGGACATTTGCTTTTTCAATATACATGAAACACTTGCTTCTATCTATAAGGCTGTTTGCATATAAGAAAATTTATATAAAATAGCTACAAAATAACACTACTAGTATCAAGCTTAAGCATAATAAAAGCATAAGCACAATAGGGTCCCTTCAATGTATTTAAGAAGAAGATCAAAGGCCTCCGTAGCTCAGGATACTCACCTTAAAATCAGAACCCAGAAAAACTTAGTTAATCCACAATACCACCCTATGAAGAATGAAGATAATCTTTGGGCCCTGAGAGCATGCAAGTGTCAACTCAGAATATTAGTGGCACTCCTGTCAGCAACTGGAAGTGCATAAGTCCATGTACTTCCTTTTCCTGTCTCACAACTCAATCATACATTCTTTAATTTTCAGACACATCTTTTTCTCATAAGCTCCTTAAAAATCCCACAAGGTATACTGTAATTAGCAGGAAAAATAAATCTAGCACTTCTGAATTCTTTCCCCAAGGGGGAAAGGAAAATTCACAGCCTGCAGGTTGCTAGCAAAGTCATCAAAGAACGTACTTATTGCTGCTAAAGGCAAGAATAAATAATGAATCAATTTTGCAGTTCTTTCCTATTACTACATCCTCTTACCTCCAGAATGTGGCCTGGGATTGCACAAGGGGCTAGGCCAGGGGTGTCAAACTCGCAACGTCACGTGATGTGTCGTGACGTATCGTGACTTTTTTTCCATTGCCGGCAATGGGGTGGGCGCGGTTTCGCTATGATGCATCTGGCCCACAGGCCGGCAGTTTGACACTCCTGGGCTAGGCTAAAATCCAATTGACTAGTTTGCAGCCAAGTGTTCGGTACAGACCTTGCCAATGTGATTTTAATAGCCCAGGAAGGGATAGGAAAACTCGAGGAAAACTTTGCAATCAATAAATCATGGTGGACTATGCTTGTTTTGCCCTATTTAGATTTTCCTCCCCAGCAGCAGCCCATTTTAGAACTGCATGGCTACAAAGATAGAGGCCTTCAGCATCCCAATCCCTGTTTATAGAGGGATTTGCATTTTGGCAAGGGTCAGGCCATACGCCCCCAAAGGAAAAACTTGAGTCTAGTGGGCCAGAAGGCAGCCCAGCCACTGCGCCCCTCCGGTTCCTTCTCCTCAGCCCTTGGGCCCAGACGCAGTCGCTGCTCCTTGCCATAGCTGGGGCTGGACTTGCAAGTACACCCACCCTCTTCGTCCTGCAAAGCGGTGCTCCCCCAGCGCTCCCGCCTGCCGCCATGCTGGCAGCCCCGACCAAAGGCCGAGTGCTCCAGCCTCGCTGCCTCACTGCCTCCAGCAGGTGCTGCCATGCCTACAAACACGGCGCTGCCCCTCCACTTTCCAGCCCCAAAATTCCAGAGTAAAGTTGGGCAGCCTTTGAGTGTCCCCGACAAGCTGCAAATCTAATGTAGCCTCAGCTGCTGTCCCCTTCCTTGGCAGGGCAAGGCTGGAGTGCTTGGCCTTTGGTCGGGGCTGCCGGCATGGAGGCAGGGAGGAGCGCCGCTTTGCAGGACGAAGCAGACGGACGTACTTGCAAGTCCAGCTCCAGCTATGGTGAGGAGCAGTGACTGCGTCTGGGCCCAGGGGCTGAAGAGGAGGAACCGGAGGGGTGTGGTGGCTGGGCTGCCTTCTGGCCCGCTGGATTCGGGTTTTTCCTTTGATTGCGGGCTGGGGTGGGCCAGCCCCTCGCTGTCTCCAGGGCAGTCCCAGGCCAAATGTAAACACCCCGCAGGCATGTCTATTTTATATCATCTCCTCTCTCCCCCTCCTCCTCCTTTTGTCTTCGGTGTAGCTGCAACTGACTCCCCAGGCTGCACGCAGCTTCCGGAAGCACCAGTCAGCTGGAGCCAGGTTGCTCATGATGGATACGAGGGCAAAGTCAGAGGGAGGCCCATTCCCTCTCCATGGGAGGAGACCCGGCTTTGTATCCAAAGCTTCCTTAGCAATAGGATGGGAGACCCCCAGGATAGGCCAGGAGGAGGGGGCAAGGGGATGGTGAAAGGGCAGCAGGGCACGACTAAGGCAGGACTTCCCTCAGACCCTCTCTCTCCTTCTTTCCTTCCTTCCTTCCTAAGTACAGAGTGGTGGGAAAATATTTGAGATGAGGGAGGGAGAAAAACAGGCAAGAAACGCAGCTGGGGAGGTGTCACCCTTTGTGAGGAATGAAGAAATGAACCATCGCCTGGAAGTGGCCAGCACATGGCCCTCACCTACTTCACATATCTGGCTTGGTGGGCTCTGGGGGAGGGGATGCCATGAGCAGCATGAGAGTCAACGTTACCTGCACAATGCCGCCCAGCCCCCAGCCTGCCCGGTTTCGGCAAGCAGCGAGGTGCTCTCCTCACAACGCCAAGATGCTGAGCCAGGTGGCGTGAATCTGAAAAGAAGCGTGACACCACCCAGCCCCCAGCCTGCCTGGTCTCAGCAGGCAGCGAGGCGCTCTCCCAGCGCCGAGAGGCTGAGCCAGGTGGCGCAAATCTGAAAACAAGCGCAAGGCCGCCCAGCCCCCAGCCTTCCCGGTTTCGGCAGGTAGCGGGGCGCTTTCCTCACAGCACTGAGAAGCTGAGCTGGGAGGTGCGAAGCTCGCCAGCTTTGCATCTTGCTCCCTGCTGAAACTGGGCAGGCTGGGGGCTGGGCAGCATTGCACTTCTCATCAGATTCGCACCACCCAGCTCAGCTCTTGGTGCTGTGAGTTGAGCGCCCCGCTGCCTGCCGAAACCCCTCCCCCAGAGCCCATCAAGCCAGATGTCAACGCTGCAAATACTGTATATTCTTGCTTTGACAATATGCAGAACTGTCTGGTATTTTTATAGTTAAACCAGGCAACAGGGAAAAAGGGAGGAGAATAAGGATAGCCCGGGAGAAAGAAACCGGAAGTAAATCACATCTTCCAAGTTGATTGGAAGATGTGAACCATGACCCCAAAATAAGGGGGTGGGA